CTGGAAAAGTCCTGGAAAAGGCCTGGAAAGACCTGGAAAAGGCCTGGAAAGGTCTGGAAAAGTCCTGGAAAAGGCCTGGAAAGACCTGGAAAAGGCCTGGAAAGGTCTTGAAAAGGCCTGGAATAGACCTGGAAAGTCCTGGAAAATGCCTGGAAAGTCCTGGAAAGACCTGGAAAGGCCTGGAAAGGCCTGGAAAAAGGCCTGGAAAAGGCCTGGAAAGACTTCCTCAAATAAAACGTTGTCCCATTTAAAAGTTAAAGCCAAAACACAGAAGATGACCTTAAAATTTCAAAGTAAAAGCTGCTCCTCGGAGGAAAGGAGGTGCAGATTAATTCAAACAAAATATCACATATATAATAAAATATAATATGAAATAATATAACATAATATATAACACCGTTATGGAAGAAAAGCCCCTATATGAGCTCCTTTTTTTTTTATCTAACCTGCAACAAAAAGTTAAACCTAAACCAATGAAGATTACGTTAAAATTTCAAAGTAAAAGCTTCTCTTCCGAGGTAAGGAGGTGCAGATAAATTCAAAATAATATATATTATATAATATGATCATATAGAATGATATAATATGATATAATATGACACGGTTATGGAACAGAAGCCCCTATATGAGCTCCTTTTTCTATCTAACCTTCAACAAAAAGTTAAACCCAAAACACTGAAAATTACGTTAAAATTTCAAAGTAAAAGCTTCTTTTCCGAGGGAAGGAGGTGCAGACTCATTCAAAATATCACATTTATATATATTTATCATAATATGATATAATATGATATAACATGATATAATATGACATAATATGATACGGTTATGGAAAAGAAGACCTTAAATAAGCTCCTTTTTCTATCTGACCTGCCCCAAATGGGCAGTTTGTGAATCAGGAAGATCTGGAAAGGCCTGGAAAAGGCCTGGAAAGTTCTTGAAAAGGCCTGGAATAGACCTGGAAAGGTCTGGAAAGGCCTGGAAAAGACCTGGAAAAGACCTGGAAAGGCCTGGAAAGGCCTGGAAATGTCTTGAAAAGGCCTGGAATAGACCTGGAAAGTCCTGGAAAATGCCTGGAAAAGACCTGGAAAGGCCTGGAAAGGTCTTGAAAAGGCCTGGAATAGGCCTGGAAAGGTCTTGAAAAGGTCTGGAAAAGTCCTGGAAAAGGCCTGGAAAGACCTGGAAAAGGCTGGAAAAGGCCTGGAAAGGCCTGGAAAAGGCCTGGAAAAGGCCTGGAAAGACTTCCTCAAATAAAACTTTGTCCCATTTAAAAGTTAAAGCCAAAACACAGAAGATTACCTTAAAATTTCAAAGTAAAAGCTGCTCTTCGGAGGAAAGGAGGTGCAGATTAATTCAAACAAAATATCACATATA